AGTTTTGACAAACTTTTCTTTCAGATTTGTTGTGACTTTTCAAAATCATTATTTAGTGTGGTTATTTCTTTTAAGTTATTTTCCCTTCGTATGTTTACATAAGCAATAAAAATATAAAGAAAAGTGTGACTAATTATTTTTCTTTATTTTAAAGTATGCTAATAATTTATTTATTTTTTTGGATGAAAACGATCATCGAGGACAATAGGTTCTAATTAAGAAAAGTTGAACACAACAATGCGATGAAAAAGATTGAAAACATAAGTGTGACAATATTCAAAACATGATTTGATATTGTCGTGCCAGTGTAGGGTTACTAAGACGGATATTAATAATAATGATGTCATTTTATATTGTTATTAATATTAATTGCATTTTAAATTAAATTAAATTAAATTAATTGGTGTGTTTGCACAGGGGTACTTGGTTTTAATAAAATAGATGAGGATCGCTAAATTAGTTCACGTCTAGCGTTGGAATTATTTGTCAAATTTATTGATAGGAGAACACTCTCCTTTTAAATTTATCAAATATTTATTAAGTCAAAATAACTTTTGATTGTAAGTTGTTTCTTAGGATGAACCGCATCCTTAGCGGCCCCCACCTGCCCTGTCCTGAGCCTTGGTGAAGGAGGTAAATTGCAGGTTATACCTCCAAGAGTATAGGGTAGAAGGCTGCTTGTACACTTGCACTTACCAAATAGCCAAATCCATATTTCAAGATTCGAACCATTGACGCGGCAGTCTCAAACAAAGTAGGAGTTCTTCCACCTTCCCCTTTTACCATTTAGAGATGTACCATGTGGGCAATTGTAAGTTGTTTCTTGATGAATCTCAAAAGCGGCCTAGTGCAGCTAATTGAATAATAAATTAATGATTATTAAACGGTAAAATTCGATGAGACGTATATGGTGGACTATATTCAATTACATTCAATACAAATTAATTTCCTTGAAAAAAAAATCTGTAAATGGCCTAATTTTCACAAATAAGTGGGAGTGGAGAAAAGAATCATAACCAACCTGATTGAATTAAAATTGATTTGTTCTGTTCGATTCGATTCTAGTTAAATTTTAAATGGTTATTGTTCCTAAAAAACCAAGAACAATTTCCAACCTAACAGGATTTATTTAGTTAATTGGTTTTATTTTTTGATTTGGTGAGTGAATTTTGTTAGACAAAAAATTTCTGATAATGGAACTGTCATTCGCATTGAATGGGCAGTAACTTTTTTTTTTTTGGATCTTGGCAATAAACTTTTGTATAGTAATTTGCAATAATAATTTGGATTTTTTAGTTACAGCCAAATCAAATCAAAA